AACCCCCCCCCCCCTAACTTTAACCATTTTCACTATGGCCCGTCAGAGCCGGATTTATACATACTTGCCGCCCATGGGCCGCCTGTATTTTGCCGCCCCCCCCCTCATTCGTTTTGAAATATCAATAAAAACCATCAAGTGAACGTGCCAGCGGGGGAGGGGTGCATAAGACGCGTTTACTCGTGTTGGACACATTTTTGCGAAAGCCCTGTTAACACTACTAGCAAAAGTTCACGAAACTTTGCGCGAAAGTTAAGTTCCGTAAACCTATCTCCGTCTGGACAAGGCCTTCCATTCATAAGAAATGAACGAACAAATTATGAAACACCAAACATAAATGTGATTTTGAGTTTGATAAAAGTTTAATGATCTTAACTTCCGCCGCCGCGCCGCGCCGACTGCAATGTGTTTGGCGCTATGCGTGAAGTATTCTGACAGTCTTGTAGGCGCTATGCGTTTCACTCCAACCGCTGTTGAACGCACTGTGTTTGACGCAATGCGTGAAGTATTCGTGCAGTCTTGTAGGCGCTAATATGTATTACATGCCGAGGGCTTCTCCTTTTCACCTCAAGTCCTCGTCATCGTTTCTCTCTAAGTCGCGCCGTTCCAGGCCAAATCGCGTGTTTGGTTTCTCTCTTAACTCGACTAATTAAAGGTGCTGTCTCTTGTATCACTGAAAGACAACAAAATTAGAAATTATTATACTCTCAGGAAATGAGAGATTTTGTCGCCTTTTCTCGTTTGTAATTTTTTTCAAAATCTGAGTTCTTTCTTTAAAAAAAGTGCAAAATTTGCCGTCCCGGGCCGCGGCCCATGTGGCCACCCCCTTAATCCGGCCCTGTGGCCCGTGTCCCACGATCAAATGAACTCATCAAATGCAAAATGGCGGAGATGCGTGCTGTTTGCGCGCGTCCGCTATTAAAAGTTGGCGGGTCGTCAAATGTTGATGAGCCCGCCATCTTCCGTTTGATGAGTACTTGATGAGCTCATTTGATCGCGGGACACGGGCTTACGAGACAGTATCTCGCCGCATGAATATGCAATTGGAAAAACCACACATAATTATCCGCCTTAACTCTCAGGAGAGTTCAAAAACCTGAATAAATTTAAAGAGGTGATGGTTTTGATTTACATCGCCCATTAAGCCTTAAATGAAATTTGAAGACAGTAAATTTTTAGGCCTACACAAATAAATTTGGAGGCGGACACGTGTGGTTTTTTTTCTCAATTTACGACTAGATTTTGATATTTTGGTTATTTAAAGACGATTTGACCTTTCGTTTCTTGGCAAATCCTCTCATTGAGGCAATTTTAAGCGGAAATTATAACATTTTCTTCAGATGGTCAATGTTTTCCATTGAGAATTCTTCTGAATGATCGCAGTGAGAAAAATGTTTAACCGAATTGAGATACCGATGGTTTTGAGGAGAAAAATGAATTATAACAAATAGATTGTCAGTATGTGTGCAAATGTGTCAGTGCTTTGTGTAGACCCGGCGTTTTATCTGACTAAAAATTTGATCATGTCAAGATCTATATCTAGAGAGGATAAACTTTCTACACATGTGAAATAATAAAATATTTAATATATATAAGAGTCACTGACTGGTCAGAAAATTTTTTCACTATTGAAACCCGACGCGTTTCGGCCTACTTTGGCCGTAATCCGGGACGCGACTGGTGTGATCGGATCTGCGGGGGCAGCTGGACGTTCCTTGTCGTCAAATAGGACTTAAAACAGCATGTTGGAGGCGGAAGTTCCACGATCATCAGGTCCTCTTGATTTTTATGGATGAAAATGTCCTCCAGAAACGAGACCACTAGACTTGCGTGTTGGGAGGATATTCTCATTCATAAAAAATCAAGGAAACCTAATGAACGTGAAACTTCCGGCTCCCAACACGCTGTTTAAAGTCCTATTCGTACGTACATACATACATAAAGTCGCTTTTATAGCGCCGCCTCGCGCTCTGCGACGCCCAATCGCCATTGCCCCCTATCCTCCCAGAGATCATCAGGCAATTGGCACCTTCTGATCTCCTCCTCCACCCCTTGTCGCCAACCTTTCACAGGACGTCCACGCCGTCGCCTTCCGGGAGGAACCCAATCGAAGACCTGCTTGGGCAACCGATCGTCTACCTATTCGGACGTATTTATACTAAAAAGAACTATGTATCACGCAAACCCTGTGTATATAGTTCTTTTTAGCATAAATGCGTCCATTTGTATTAGACAACAGGGACATCGTCCAGCAGCCACCGCAGATCTGATCACAACAGTCGCGTTCTGAATGATGACCGGTGTAGGTCCAAACGCGTCGGCTTTTAATAGAAAACATTTTCTGACTAGTGAGTGACTATGATATTTTAATATTTCATCAATTTGACCTAGTTCTAATCTGATTACTTTTTACCATTTTTTGAAGTTCTACGCATTTCTATTTTGCCTTCAATATTCAAGATAGGCCGAAAATATTCTCAATGCTGCAATGGTTATCTACTTGCACGCGCGCGTGTTTTACGTTCCTTGCTATGAAAATGCCAAATAACGTTCTGACGATTTTGATGCTGCCTTTATTTCCCCATTGATTCTGTATCGATCTCTAGATACACAATGTTTACACAGCAGCCCGCGACAACGGTAACATCAAAAAACAAGGGGGAAAACAGGAAACAAGGCTAAAAATACATAAAAAACCGAAACGTTACGGCTCAGACTGGAGCCATTTTCAGCCTTTCTTTTTACCTTTTTTTTTCTTTCTTTTTTTCTTTCCTTCTTCATTCTTTCCCTCCTTCTTTCTCTCTTCTGGTTTCCCTCACCAAAAATTACTGAGAATCAATTTATTAATAAAAATGTTAATTTTCACGCCTACTAATAATACACTTCATAATACACTTATATATTTATTATTCAAATCAAAAAAAACAAGTCAACACATAATTATTTTAAAGTCACAGTGGATTACACATACAATTAAGCTTAATTGTAAATTAAACAACTTAAAAAACTTTCAGCTAATCCCATTAACTCATACGTCAAATTCAGTTTTTTATTAACTGAAATAAGAAGGATACTTATGAGGTATTTTACGATCGCTTAAGTAATGTATGAATGCTCCTAAAATTTCGATCAGAGTTATTAATGGATTCACCGTTCTGAGACTAGGTACGGGTGCTGGATCTCTCCAATTGTTCCTTGTTCTTATTCTTCCTGCGGGAGGGTAATAAGTAATCCTTCCAGCTCGGGTAGGAGGGTATCTTGTTTAACCAATGAGCGCAACAGCAACAGCAGCACGCCTGCATCACTGCTTTTTCATCGTCGTGAAGAAAGCCACCCCTTCCCCTTGTTTCCTGAGCACCCGCGCTTTCCGTTACAGGTCGTGCCCACGGATATGATCCTCCGATTTCCTGTGGTGGCTGTTTTTGCGACTGAGAGCTGTCACTATGAAGTCTAGTTTCCAACTTGCGATCCAGCTCGGTGTCATCTACATCAGCAGTGTTCTCCGTTGAAGTCTCATCCACAATGAAGATTTCTCTGGTCCAAGAAGGCTGTAAGAAAAAAGTGTGTAAAGATAAGTGACAAAGAGTGCAGAGGAGAAAAAAGTGAGCTGACGTGTGACTTTGATAAAAATCAAGTTTTGCCCCTAACCCCCCCCCCAAATTTTGGCGCACCCGAGAATCACTTGACGTGCATAAGGAGACCATAGATAAGGTCCTTCATGCAAATTTTGAATGAAACTGAACAAATAGATTTTGAGATTTTGAGCTAATATTCGTGTATCAAATGAAAGTTACTTGTATGGATTGAAACGTCATTTTCAGGCAGGGCCGGATTTACTAACTTGCCGCCCAGGGGCCGCCTGCATTTTGTCGCCCCCTTATCATTCGTTTTGAAACATCAATAAAAACCATTAAGTGAACGTGCCAAAGGAAGAGGGGTACATTAGACGCGTTCATTCTTGTTTGACACATTATTTGCGAAAACCCTGCCAACACTACTAGCAAAAGTTCAAAAAACTTTGCGCACAAGTTAAGTTCCGTATACCTACCTCTGTGTGGACGAGGCCGTCCATTTGAAGAAATGAACGAAAAAATTATGAAAGAACAAACATAAATGTGTTTCAATAATTTTAACTTCCACCGCTGCGCCGCGCTGACCGCAATGGGTTTGGCGCAATTCGTAAAGTATTCATACAGTCTTGTAGGCGCTTTGCGTTTCACACCGACCGCTGTTGATCGCACTGTGTTTGACGCAATGCGTGAAGTATTCATGCAGCCTTGTAGGCGCTATGCGTTTCACGCTGACCGCACTGTGTTTGACGCAATGCGTGAAGTATTCATGCAGTCTTGTAGGCGCTGATAAGTGTTACATGCCGACCGCCGCGCCGAGGGTTTCTCCTGTTCATCTCAAGTTCTCGTCATCATTGCTCTCTGCGCCACGCCGTTCCAGGCCAAATTGCGTGTTTAGTTCCTCTCTTAACTCGACTAATTAAAGGTGCTGTCCCTTGTATCACCGAGAGATGACAAAATTAGAAATTACTATACTCTCAGGAAATGAGAGATTTGGTCACCTTTTCTCGTTTGTAATTTTTTCTGAATCCGATTTTTTTATACCTATATTTAACAAAATTGCAAAATTTGCCGCCATGGGCCGCGGCCCATGTGGCCATCCCCTAGATTCGGCCCTGTTTTCAGGTGTAATTTTTAATCATTTAATATTTCACCTTGAATCGTTATTTTTCCTCTTCTTTCTTCAAAAATTTTAAATGTTACAACTACAAATTAACAATTGTTTTGTACCTGTTTATTCACATATAATAAAATAGATACTTTTAGAAATAAAAAGAAAATAACAACAGATACTCACACACGTAAATGGTTCCTATCTATACTATTATGGAATGCACATATTTTAACATTTGAATACTTCAAGCATTTTAATATTCAATTTGAGTGGATTGTGAAAGGGAAGTTTTCTTTTTCCGTATGGTTTTTCGCAAGAGTTACCTAGCTGTTTTTTTGTTTGAGCATTTCGTTTCCGTTTCTGTTTTTGTTAAACGTTCGAACAGAGCAACCTAAATTTTTACTTGCAATTTTGACGAAATTATTACATATCCAAATCAAGCGTGTTTCAGCACAATTGAGAGAGTGAGGTGATATGAAATAAAATGGAAAAAGATATATTACCTTTACTGAAATAGTATTTACGTTTGATCCTCCATTCTGTATTTTTTCGGCACGAATCGTTCCCAGAATGACAGTTCTGCGTGTAAAGAGGAGCACCTGGAAAAAAAATCTGCATTATTCTCCAAAAATTTTTTTTTTTTTTTTTTTTTTTTTTTTAGAGAGAGAGAGAGAGTAAGAGAGTTGAAAATTTTTCCATCATTTTTGACACTTTTGAATGAAAAGTACACTTTCAAAAGCACGCACATTGTAAAAGGTATAAAAATGGTTGGAAAAGCTGAATATTCTCATGAGTAGACTTTTTTTTGCAAAAAATTCAATAGTTCCCAGAGGAGAAAGAATCATCGGTATGATCAGTTTTCTCTCGTTTTCCGATGTTTGTTGCATATCGTACCTTGTTTGTTGTTTATTCTGTTATCACTACAGTCTCATTTACCAATTTTTCTATGTAATGCCATTTGCTGGTTTTTATTTTAATATCTATTTTATTTTTAATTCTTTTTTAGCAGTTGATAATGGTGCCGTAAGCTAGCTTTTTTCTGTGTTTTCGATTGTCGTTTCCGTTTCGGGCTGCTTTTACATTCTCTTTGTTTTCCACAGTTCCCAGAAGTATATATGCATTGTCACTTGTTCAAGCTGAATGAAATCACACTGCATGGATGACTGACATACATGCGTAGTAAAACGTGATCAATTGAATCGTGAATTATAAAAGATATAAATAAGAATTCACATCATTAGGACTAAAGTAATTGATGGGAAATCAAAAAAAATGAAATGCACTAAGAGATAGGGCTCAACATAAAAAATTACCATTCTGGCAAGATGAACAAACAATACAAAATAATCTGAAATAGATTGTACGATTTTAAGACAAGCTCTTTACGCCAAGAAATCCCCATTCAAAATCTCTTCATAAAACGTTTACCCAATAGTAGTTTAACATAGAAACAGAATTAGCTAATGCTCGAGGAAAGATTGCTCTTTTTCAAGATTTCAGAGCATTATTGCTGTACGAAACGCGATTTTACACTTTGAAAGTAAACATCCATTTTGATGGCAGAAGTAATCAAAATGTACTAGATATTTCAGGCAATATCGGCAAGAATTCTTGTACTTATCTTAGACTTGAAAAAAATAAAAAAATAATAAGTGCTCTTAATGGCTATTAACTACGATATCTATATGAAGAATGAAGCCAATTTGTTCAATTAAAACATGACGCATTTTAGAGCTCGTAGAATTCAAAACATCAATTCTGCATCATCAAAGTATGTATTGCTAATTTACAAGCTTTTCTCGATTCAGAACGATGTGCATTTCACATAATTATTGACACTATAGCTGATTGTTTTTTTGACTTTTTAAAATCAAAGAACTTCAACACCTTAACAATACACAAATAACCCCAGCATTTACCTCGATGAAAGTTGAGTAAAATCTTCACTTACCAGAAAAAGGTAATAATAGAACATGATTGTGTGATTCCCTTGAATTGCAACTGTGAAAACTGAAAATTTGAGAAATACCGTGAAAATTCTAAGGGCTGCCTATTAAAATCGGGCATCTCGCTGAACATGGCTTTGAATCCCCTGGAACTAACATTCTGAAATATACGTATGAAACATGAGTTTGCTGTCCTAACTTTTTTTCCGTTAGGTTACAGGACAGACATTTTTGTGGTCGTCATCGACCTTTGAGTTTTTTCACTACGACTCCGCGTCAAACCGTCATCAACCATTTCTGTCGAAACGAGAGTTCCATTAACACCACTTTACACGTATCGTGCGCGCACTCAGCCTGGTTAACAGGGATTTTGAGACATTTGCATTACCTGTAAAAAAGGCCAGACAGCATTCCCATTTTGGCAGAGACGAGATGTCAACCGGGTGACTGTACTGTCGTACTAAGGAAAAACGCCGTATGAACATTCGGGAGTCGTCAAATCTCCTCCGATAAAATTTTGATTTTTGAGGAAAATTATCAATATTTTTCCATGAATTTTTCAGACTTTTTGCATCAAATTACAAACAAAATTACCTGAGAAATTGGGAGAAAAATATTCACAAATTTGCTTGATGATTAGTGATTTGTCTAGGAAAATTTGGCAACGCCTGAAGGCTCATACGGTGTTTTTCCTTCGCACGGCAATATGGGAGTTGATCTCAGATTTTCTAAAAAAAATTAAGAAAAGAGTTCTTGCATGCCACAGCAATATGCGAGTTAGGTACCTTTTACCTTTTTCAATGTACAATTTCACGAGAAACACGATGGTTACGGTGTTATCTGGAACCAACTTCCGAGCTCAAAATAAGCTCTCAAAATTGAGGCCGTTATGCAGGTATCGCCTACATTACGGAGCGAATCTATCTCTGTATTCGGTCAATACAACCGTCCTATTTCTTAGTGTAATGGGTACGTTTACAACTTAATTTCATCGTCCATGGATCATTGCCACCTTTTAATATGAATCAAAAATTGCAATAGTTTTTTTTTTTTTGAAAATGCAGACGATCACATACTTATAAATGAAATAATAAAGTAAGGGAGCGTCCACATATTACTTGACGCGCTTTCCTGCACTTTTGACCCCCCACCCCCTATCCCCTCCCTATCCTCTAAAACGTAAAAACAAAATGGCTCAAAGCGTTCCTCGATCCCTCCCTTCTAAAACGACACGTAATTTCAATCAGTGAGAACGAGAACATACCGACTCGGAAAAATAAAAATAATCAAGACAAACACAAAATTGCACAATAGGTGAAGAAGTTAGTTTCAGAAAAATATGTTTGCTGCCAATAGACAAGTACTTGTGGACACTTTAAAGGTCCAACTTGGAACAGACGCGCTAACTTCAATGCCCTTTATGTGAATTAACTGTCTTTAATGGAAATTAAGCACTTTCGAGTAACCGAGTTGGTGTGTTTTCGTTCTTACTGATTCATTTATAAACGATCATCGGCAGATCCAGCGATTTGGCAACATCGAATTCCCTCCATTTAAACCTATAAAAATGTATCGAATCTTGGAGGGGGGGGGGGCTAGGTGCTCCGACATGAATCGATTATTCAGCGTAGGTTTTAATGGAGGAAATACGGGGTTGCCAAATTGCTGGATCCGCGTTTGTGAACGACCCCTAAAATAAAGTACAGATGTGTTTTTTTTTGTTTTTTTTAGGAAGTCTTTCAATAATCCTGCAGCATCCTTTAGCGGGAAATACTTGTGCTAGTGAGCTCTGTCAGTGTGTTTTGAGTAGAATTTGTTAAAATCCACTAGGTAAAAGAGCTGGTGGCCGCTTCAACCGAATGGCGGCCATTAATATGGCAAAGCAAGGTATAGCCAATGAAATGACGCATTTACATTGATGAAACTGCGACGGCATCATTTACGCAAGTCCTTAATACATTGTCGAAGGCTAGGACCTCCCTCCTGGTCACGTGACGTGGGTTGTCCGGCCAATGACAGAACGCGAGAGATTCTCTCTGTAGAAGAAAAATAAACTATGTCTCCGTATAAATTCTAATCTCCTGTATATAAAAATTCCTCCCTCTGTTGGCTGATTATAATACAGCAAAATTAAAAACTCTGATCCGATTCCCAGGGTAATAGCACTATTCTGGCTCGTACGCAAAAAATGAGCAAAAAGTAAATATTAAGTGGCAATTTAACATCAATAAATCAAGGATTTGTGATTTGAATAATTAGCAACACGGAGACTTGGGTAGAAAACTTAGTTTCGAACCTCGAAATTATTGTAACTTGCTGGATCTGTACTTAAATAAACTCAGTGTGTTTAAAAAAAAGAGAACACAAAAAGAGGAAAAAGAAGAAAAGAGGAGTAACGAAAATAGAATAGAAAAAAGAAGATGACAGCAAAAGAATAAATACAGATAAAATCAAAGAAGAAAGAAAATATATTATACATTTTTTCAACACTAGAAAAGACTAGTTACTAAACTAGTTCTCAACTTAGGCTCTCTTTTTTCGCGTTTTATGCTATAATGACAGTGAATTAAGGTTGTATCATTTTCGAACTAAACTTTAATAACGGCAAACTCCTCACTATATGCTCAATTTATACCCATTTACACCAATACAGAGGTTGTAATCCCTTGGCACTGGGTCATCTCAACATGCGCAACATGAGCGGACACGTGACCAACTGTTAAAGGATTTATGGGGTGGATGAGGCGGGCCCTCCGCCCTCCGCCACGCGTCGTCTTGTCAAAACACCACCTCGCGGACTGTGAAAGTGCGAACAGCCACGCGCCTTCACTTACTCAAGTAGGCAACACACGTGGCCACACCAAATTCTCGCGTAATTGATACTTAACGCTCTTTTCATTGCGTTTTTTGGGACCGGTGTAGGGTGGCTTAAAAAATCGGGTCGTGCAGGGTGTGAAGCGCGTCCGAGTTGTCAATTTTACCCACAAAACAAGATTTTAAAACAAAGTCGTGTAAAATTCAAAAAAACCTTTCTTTAAAATTCACTAATTATCCTGGAGCTTTACCAAGAGGTGAGGAAAAATTTCATATGAATGGAGTCATTGGTTTTTCCCTGACTTAATGAAGCCGGTTTGTTTCGGCTCATATCTCATGAGACATGGCAACGACGAACAAAAATAGAGGAGCTGGCGATTTAAAAAAAAATTGGCCTCCGGCCAATTTATGCGCGGCGCTTCGCGCCGCGTACCGGCGCTACGCGCCGGCATTTGGGGGGCTTCGCCCCCCCATCCGCTTAGCGGATTGGTGCGGGGACCGCACGGGACTTTCTCGCTCGAGCCGGCATAGACACTTTTACTGGAATATTTAGAAAAATACTGCCAATTTTACAAAATCATAAAGTTTGAT